TCCCCATCACCCCAGTTAGCCAGCCTCTTTCAAGGATCGTTGAGATGAGATCACCTACCGCCAAGTATAAGACCGATGATCGGAAGATCGGTGCAACTCAAAGAGAGAAGACCACCGCCGTTGCAGCAGTATTGATTGGGCTTATCCATTGGGCAGTTGATGGATTTCATATCACCAGCAGGCATGGCCGAAACGACAACGACGGCAGAAGCGGCGAGGAGAAGCTTGGAGAAGTGCATGGTGATGACTTGGGGGAGGAAGATGAGTTTGGAGTTTGGAAGTTGGAAGCTGGGATGTGAGTCTGGATCGATGGATGGATGTCGAGAGGCTTGATGAGAGGAGGAGGAGGAGGAGGGTGGGAAAGGAGCTGGCTTTTATAAAACATTGGGTTGGAGAAACTCATATCAGACGAGGGAGAGGTCCGTTAGCCGTTCACAATACTCCCCCCTATCTCATCCCAGTAGACATCTCCAGCATCGTTCGCTAGACAGTGGCGACTCTCATGTATTAGAAAACCCCAATATCAACCGGCCGTACCGAATGCAGCGCTCGGGCGCCTGTATCTATCGTCATAGACCTCCCTCCTGTACCGCTATTTCCCGTGCTCATTGTCTAATCCGGCAGCGTGCCGTGTTTGTATATTCGTTTTTCTGATGGGAGAACCATGGTAATTCTTCAGCACTTTGCAAATGTGTGGTGGGGTTTGATCAGGATCGGAGGCTGGGTAGGGAGGGACCCCTCATAAATCTACCGAGATCAAACTGGCCGGTATGGGCTCTGGGGAAGGCTGGTGAAGGAAAAGGTATAGTGTATACGCAGATTTAGAGATAGTCACGACCTCTCACGGGTGGCTGCAGTGGAGGTATCAAAAATGAGGAAACACTAGAAAATCGCCTACGACAAGTACTGACGCAAACCCGGCCAAAAATAGAGTAATAGCTACATAGGAGAAAGATTTACTGATAACTTATTATTTAACCTGGGATTGTGGTTTTCTGGTGAATCGTTGAGAAAGTAAATAGGTACGTCGGTTGCATGGACAATTCCGGCGCTTCCTCTCGTTTGGCGGGAAATTATAGAGTCTTTGATCCCAACTCGAGATTGTGCCAAAGTCGAGACCACCAATCAGATTTCACGTAGAAACAGGGTATCAACAGGGTCTGTAGCGTTTCCCCGGAGAATCCCAACTTAGGCACAATCTCGAGTTGGGATCAAAGACTCTCTACACACTTTCAATTACAGCCCCATTCACGGCGCTGTCAAGCTGTAGGGAATGGACTGTGGAAACTTGGATCAGCCGAGTGGAGCTGGTTGTAGATCTCGGCACGGGGGTCTCGGAATTGTAACCACTGTACAACATTTGCACTTCCGAAGTTCCTCTCCACAGCTTTGCAGACTAAAGATGCATGGCGCCTTGCGCTGCCCAGTACCAAGTATATACGTAAGTCATGGCCGCAAGCGGACAAATAAGCAATGAGTACAATACTGATCGCCGGAATTAACCGCCCTATGGTCCCAGGTTTGGATAATGATGTAGGTTCATGTAGCTTGCCTTTTCCCATGAGTCACATTATCCGCACGACATCGTACCATGACATTGTTAAATTGAATGACTTCGTACATGAATTAGCGGAATTGGGTGTTGGTGTACATTAATTTACCCAATTCCGCTAATTTCATGCACGACGTCGTGAAATGATATTTTGACCACTTTACACCGCCATATATCCGTGCTACCAGTAGGCGGAAGGCTGGTCCGGGCTGGCTGGAATCGTGAACCGGCCACCGATCAAGGCTCACAGAACTAAATTTGCACTCTATGTTTGTCTGCTATAAGTTGGAGCGGCAAATATCCTACCAGGCATATTATGGTGGTTATTGCTGAAAAAGTTTGCACATATGTACCAAGTAAGCTAGTAGATTTACTTCCTGATACATTCCCCGGTTGTTCATCATCACTCATGGTAGGCCTTGCGGCTGAGTATCCCACTGGCTACCTTTGTTTTACTCCATGCCGCTTTAAATGCGCTCGGAGGATGTTTCGCATGATGTGAGACAACCTAATAATTTCCCCGTTGTTGATCATTTATGTTCTGTATTGCGGTGGATATCCCACTGGCTAGACGGCTGTGCATCATCCCTTACTCGAGGGCGGTTGCAGTATGCGCGTTTACTGTGCTTGTGGAAATTGTGCCAGCCGCCAGCGCATAATTATCCCTTACACGCTCACGAAAGGCGGATGTGTTACAGTTTGCCACAGTGAAGATCATACCATACTAAGCTAAAGTGATATCGAAAGCAGTAACTAGCTACCACTCGAAGTCACCAACGGCCAATGAGAAATTCGCCGCCTAGCTGCTGATCAGTACCCAAATACAAAACTGCAACAAATCCGCCCTTCGTGAGCGTGTAGGGGACAGTACAGCACGAATCGTGGAACGCGCTGATCTGCCTTCTACGGTATAAGATGGGGCAGGTAAAGCTCAGCAAAAAGCTACATGAGGAAGCGGAAACTATGGGTATACTTTCCACCGGTACTACCCCAGAAGGATCTGCTAGGTACTAGAAACCCTGTCCTAGCCCCTCGCTTCCTGTATCTCGATTCATTTGTACGTACATTCATCCCTCGGACGCGCTCCAACCACTCTACTACGAGGGTTTGTGCACATGCCACTTATTCTCCTCGTGAGTTGGCCGGCGGATCGTGCTCATGTTGCTTCGGCGGACTTTGCCGCAATATTGATCAGGGTTTCGTGATCCTAGGCTTTCAGAGATTATGGAGTCGATTTTTTTTTCGTTTCTCTTTGTTATTCTTGGAAGCTACGTGTAACACAATGTCGAGGTCGAAGACATGGACCTAGAAAAACCTTCGATAGGAGATTTGATTATAGATTTCACGGTCTGCAAATTTCGCGCAAAATGTACTAACTTGACAATGAAAACTCTGGAGGCGAGAACTATCCAGATCTCCGGGTTAGAACACATCTGCAAAACACAATAATATCATACTGAAAACGGGCGGATGATGTCAGTTCTCAATGGATGTTGTTACTGTAAATAGACATTTGTGCGTGCGAGAGCGGCCCTACCCTAATACTTACCCTAATACGTAGGGACTGCTTCTGGAGCTGGTCCAAGCTTCTACGCTCGAACTCAAACATATATGGATTCACCCCCTATTCTCTTCTCTTCTCTAATATAATCTATCCATCTTCTCTGCTCCATCTAAAGTAACAGATGTGCTTATTGGTGGTGGTGGTGGTGGTGGTGAGTGACAGAATATGAAGGATGTTTTCCCTTATTGAACTGTTAATTTCTTTTAAGGCGTTTAGAACGGCTTTCCTTATTGGCTCGAAAAACTGATCCAGATTTCCATCAACTTTCACCAACCATACTTCTACGAACAAACCGAAGTCACTTTTTTTTTTCAAAACCCTCGAATTTCACAATTGACGTCACTCAACCTGTAATACGGAATTTACGGTTGTTGGTGGGGATGAGGGGGATCGGCACTAGGTAGTTCCCGACGATATGGAAATGATCTTCGCTCCCTCCCCGGTGGACTATCTCCTGTCTATTATTGGCATTCGATGAGGGAGAACGCCGCGGGAAGCGTTCACACCATCTCGAGAATTCCAAAACCAATGTTTGGGGTCGAAACTGCTCCAGCTCTCGTCTCACAGGTCGCCACCACAAAAGCTTGTATCAGTGCCTTACTTCCTGATGGTGCGAAGAAAATTCGATCCTGCAGTGGCATGTTCCGTTTCATTCGTAT